CTGCCTGACCCTGGCTGTTCCTCAGCATGGAAGGCATGTGTGGGGAATGGGACCTGCTGCTTGCAGTGACTTCAGCCATTGGAACCCTTCAAGTCCCAAACCTCCAAGTTCACTTTCACGTCAGTCCTTTAAGCTACACAGTAGTCATCCAGAAAAATACTCTTCCAACCTCATTGTTACTACTTTTTGAACTATAATGCTCTCACACTCCCTTCCTTGGACTCTTAAGACTACCTGACTTGTGAGCTTTGCTGAAAGTACGGATTAATGAAACCAAACTCATGGTTGTCTTCTGATGGTATCTGGGAGTTCCAGCTCTCTCCAGGCATGGCTCATGTTCTAATGGCAATGTCACTGGAATGCAGTTCCATGGCGTAACACGGAGTGTGACTTGGGAGAGCTGATACTCAGGCGGTCGGCGTAGCAAGCCAGAAGGAATCCTGTAACCCCGGGAGTGCTTTAGGACACTCCCCTCCCCCGGGCTGCACACAGCTGTCAGGCTCACACCTCAGCAATCTGCTTTGACTTGTGAAAATGCCTACTGAGATACTGCTTTAGTCAAAAGTGTCAACTCTCGTTTTCTTATAGTTACTGAAGATGATTCTGAATGGTTATTGTCAGCCACTGCTTATTATTAAGCATATACTAACACTTGATATTAGTGCATTATATTCATATCTGAAAATTAGATCTTATTTTACTGTTTATTAATAATTGCATAACTTATGCCGGCTATACTTATTTTCTAGCAAAATCAAGTGATAGTAAAATAGGAATTTGTCTTAGAGTTAATTTGTTTGAATTTATAAAAATAACTTAATTGGGATTTAAATTCTAGTAGTAGTGGTAATTGGAGGTTTTTTTTTTTTAATAATGTTTGGTCTGTTTTCAAGACTGTCTCATTCAGTGTATTGACTTTAATGATATTTTTCTTACTAGGATTATAATGACCTTGGTTTGTTTTTATTTTTTAGGCTTGACTGTGGTAATACCATAAGAATGTAACCCTGCAGTCAAGATGTGTTACAATCAACAGTCACTGACACTTGTAAGGCACTGCCATGCAGGTGACAAAACAGATAGCAATTATTGAGTGCCTGATGTATGCTGATTTTTTTTTTTAATTTAAGTTTATGAAGGCTAGGAGGCAGGATTCCTGATGCCAAGCCGATTAAAACACAACTGTCAATGCAAAGTACAAGTGCCTTTGCTCTGTTCTTGAAAAATTTAATGCAACTTGATAACGTTTGCAGATAAAACACTCAGGCTCCAGGAATGCGGGCAGTCAAGCCGGAGGTGGGGGTAGAACTGAAGAAGACTTCCTGGAAAGAGAAGCTTACAACCAGTAGTGAGGGAGGTGGTGAGCTTGGGAGTGGCTGAACGTGTGCCTGGAGCCGAGCTTCACTTGCAACACAGCAGGTGGTGAATAAATGATCTTAAGGGTGTGCAGAGAGCTGCCATGCTGTGACGTGCCCCACTTGAACGACATACATGTTGATAGCGTCCTGGCTATGGAGTTGAAAGACTCACATGAAATACTCACACGTTCTCACTGAGCTTAGGAACATCAGCCACTTGCTTCTGGATTATTTTGCTACAGATTTAAAATAAGCTACAACATTTTAACCAATGTAAAGATTTAAAATAGGTTTAGTTTCTATGAGGAGTTGGACATTAAATTAACTGTTATGTTTGTATATATTTGTAGAAAGATTGTTAGCATTGCAAAAGAGAACCCAGGTTTTTCTAGAATCAGAGATGTGAAATTGACAGCTGTGAGCTTTACTGACCTTTGCGGTAAAATAGCATCAGTTAGGACGCAGCCCTGTTTCCCCCAAAAGCTGTCAAAAACATTCACCGTGTTAGTAATGAAGGGAACTTGGTGGCTATTAAAAGGGGTGTGGTTACATTATCACGAAGAAAGATGATAATTTTTTGAGAAAAGGAGTCATCAAAAAATTCCCCTGGCTGCCCCTTTGTCCACGTTTGTAATTGTTTTCAAGATGGAATGTTCCAAACTACTTAATCACCAGGCAGATAGGCAGGTACCATCCCCTTTATGAAAGTATCTTTAGGCACGAAATGCTGATGGCAATATCGGGTTTACAGAAGTAGTAACGTGTGCGAGGTTTGGATAACTTAGGTTGGGGTTACAAGTCCGCTGCGGCAGGGCTTCGCTCTCCTCGCGGAACTCCTTTGCTCATTTTCCTGGGCGGATGGTCGAGACTCTTGTTTCTCATTCTTTGAAAACACAGTCCTGTGCATTCCATTCTGGCACCTTCCCTCTGGTTAATTGCCCTTTTCATATTCTTTCAGTTTGCAGTCCTGGCGACTTGGGCTGGCATTTCCTCCACGTGAGTGCGAGTGAGCAAAACTTTCCCCCCCAAGAGGACTGGCTGCCCGTGGAGTTTCCGCCCTCTCTCCTCCTAGTGTTAGGATTGCTCGGGGCTGGTATGGTGGTCCCGCTCGCCTCCACCCGAAGCCCTCCCGCAAACTTCAGGGGTGCCACCAGCAAGTGCGAAGGTTGCCCAGTTTTGGGCCGGCAGGCTTGGGCTGAGCAGGTTTGGAACTGGGAACAGCTCCTGGGGAGACACAGCCTCCCATCTTTTCGGACAAGCGCAAGAGAAACCCGGATTGAAGCGCAAAGGAGCTAGAAGGACATTCCACAGGTGTGGGACACCCTAGCAGGGGTTGTTCATGTGCGTGCGTGCCCTTAATCCCGAAGCAGAGTTTTCCCGAGATAAAAGCATAGTGATTGAAGCGGGGTTCAATTTTCCTTCACGAACATGAACACGTGGTTTGGGCCGGGTCGGTGCGGATCCGAATTCCGTTGTCTTCCAGTAAAGCATCTCTTCCACTGCTCCTTTTCTAAGGGAGCGGGTCCTTCTGCCAGCAAACCGCTGGAGGCGACGGGATGGAAGGGGAGCAAGAAGGTGGACTCTGCAGAAAGGTTCCCTACAGAATCCTACAGTGTGCGCCTTGATAGAACCCAGGCGCACAGAGCAAACCAAGGACTTCACCCGCCCCGCTGCACCCTTGCCACGTGGCTGAAACCCAAGTAAAAGGGACATTTTCTGGGACTTGGAAAATTGCCTTCACTCATCCAAATATACAGCAAAAGAAACTTATACGGCAAAGAGAAGCATTTTGCTTCTGTCGGGAGGATCGCTAAATTACCGCGGGGAAGCTACTCTGCCACAGATGCGCAGGTCCCAGTGGCTGGTCCCCGCGAGGTGCAGCCTGCCGTGAAGCACAGCTGCCAGTGGTAGGGGCTGCTGAAGAACCTGAGACCCTGCAACGCTGATCCACTTGGCAAGCTTCCTTCCTCAGAAAAAAAAAAATGCAAAAAGCGAGGGTGGTGTTGCCCTCTCTAGCCCGCCCGCTTAAGCCCGTGAGCTAAGAGTCCACAGTCATTCTTTTGTTCCACCAGTTTAGGACTTTGGACCCAGTAAATGTCAGAAGCGGCAGGCGGACACCCCACCCCCAGTCAGTCCAGGAGCGGCACAGACACTTCGGGCTTTCCTAGCGGGAAGGGAGCAGCTCTTCCACTCCCACCTGTCCTGAAGTTACATCTGCTCCACTCCCTGAACGGTTGCACCCGCCCTTTCCCACTGAAGCAATTAGGACCAGAGCTGCGGGAAGCTTCTAAGGCAGGGTTCGAAATAGAGTGAATCTGGACCACAAAAAAGATTCTGAGGGCGAGAAGTGGTCCAGGGCTGGGCGCGCTGGGAGGCGGGGACCTTGTGTTTGAGGAGCCTCGGAGCCCTGATGCCTGCCTGGCCCTTGGTGAAGGCTGGGCGGCGGTTTGTGTGTGACACCCCAGGGAGTCTGGACTGCACGACCCACAGTGGGACCTCACGGCCACCGTCCCCATTCAGACCCGGTTGACCGGGTGGCGGAACACACTGGGCTCCAACACGTCGCGCGCTCCAACTAACCAAACTTGATGGGCTTTAGGTTCTGCGCGTTTATTGGGTAGCATTTTCCCCTTGCACAGCAACTGCACGGGTTCTTGGCAGCGGCAAGGCACCAGGGGGTCCCAAGACAACCACAGCTGAACAGGTGGCTTCAGGGTTGGGGACGCTGGGCTCCTGTTACCCTTGAGCCACAGTTGCTCTTTTCCCACTCCGTAATCTCAGCAGGGCACAACTCCGAACGCCCTTTAAAGTGTGTATGGGACAGGAAGTGCCCGGGAGGAACCCTCCTCCAGACCCTAGGTTTCTCAGAAGCACCCTGAGTTGATGAAACTCTCCGCCAGCATTTGAGTTGGAACTCTCCTCCTGGGAGCGGCGACTGAGTGCAGCTCTCTTGGAGTCGCTGGCCTCTCAGCAGGAGGACTGCCTGGCTGGGGCCACGGATCGGCCAGCGTGGCTGGCCCAGCAGCTCACTCGTGGCAGCAGCTGCGGGTTTAGAGTCCGGGACTCAGGACCCAGCTGGGGCAACACCCCGCAGGGCCTCTTTGGTCCCCAGCCTACCAGCCGGCCAGTGAGCGCGCGGCTCCTGGAGGGCCGCTGGGGCCTGGCAGGGCGCGCGACGTGGGCGCGAGCGGCAGCAGCGTGGGGTGTGCCTGCTCCGCCAGTGGGCGTCTTCTGCCACTGCCGCCTCCACGGGCAGCGGCATTGCGGTGCTTTCCTGCGCGCTTTCGAGCATTTGCCCAGGCTCAGCTGCCGGAGCGCACACAAACCGCGCCACGCCTGCAGGCAGCGTCTCCGCAGCCCCTCGCCCCGCGCCGGCGAGGACGCCGATCGCGCGCGCCAGCCGGGAGCCCGGCGCAGCCGCCAGAGGACTCGCCCCCGGCCCCGGGTCTTCCCGCACTCGCCGCGGGTTTGGAGCGCGATGTGAGGAAGCCTGAGCCGGGAGGGCCGGATCGGACGGCAGAGCGGCAGCGGCCGGACGCTCGGGTCGCGGTCGCCCGGGGAGGGCAGGTCCTGCGGGGGCGGAGCCCGGCGCGCCCCTCCCGCCCGCGGCCTCGCCCCGCCACGGCCGGCGGAGGACGGGCCATGGCCAGCCCGCCGGAGCCTCGCGCTCCCCGCCCCCAGGCTCCCCTGCCCGCGGCGGGGGACGAGCCGGGCCCGGGCCCCGGCAAACTCCGCCCGGAAGCCCGGCGCGGCGCGGCCCCGGAGCGGCCAGGCCGCGGGCGGGCCGAGCGCGCCGCGCCCCCGCGCGCGCCCCCCTCCCCGGCAGGCCGCGTGGGCTCGGCCGGGGGGCCCGGCGCGCTCTCGGCGCTCGGCGGCTGCTGGGTCGCGGCCCGGGCCCCCTTCGCGCTCGCGCTCTCCTCCCCCGCCCCCTCGGCCTCCCCATCTTCCTTTTACTTCTGGCCGCCGCCGCCCCTGCCCCCTCCCTCGTTTCTCCCCTCCTCAGCCGCCTTTCACCTCCCCGCGCGTCTCCCAGGAAGGGAGGGCGCGGCGGCGGGAGGAGGTGGAGGCGGCGGCGATGCTGGCGGCGGCGGAGGACAAGAGGCAGCTCCGCTGAGCGTCCCCGCCAGCAGCAGTCCGCGCGGCGGCGGCGGCGGCGGGCGGCGGCGCCTCTTCCTCTCGCTCGCGCTCCAAGGCTTGCTGCTCCCCGCGCGCGCCGGGCCCCGAGCGCCGCCGCCCCGGCTGCCCTTCGGCGCGGCCGCCCGGCGCGTGGGCTTCCCCGGCTTCCCGGGCGCCGGCGGGGGCTGCCCCGGCCCCGCCGGCGGAGGCGGCGGCCGCCACCGTGACCGAACTCCACAGCGGCCCGGAGGCGCCGGCTGTGCGCTCGCCTCGCTTCTTCTCGGCTCCGACATGGAAGATGGACCTTCTGGTAACGCGAGCTGCTTCCGAAGGCTGACCGAGTGTTTCCTGAGCCCCAGTAAGTGGCCTGGCTCCGCGTCCTCGCGCTCACGGCTGGCGGGAAGGGAGCCCGTGCGAGGGGGCGGCCTTCTCCCGAGGGGCAGGGAGTTGGTGGCACCTCCGTGGCGCGCGGGAGTGGCCCTCGGCGCCGGGACGCTGGGCTTCCTAGGCCGAGCAGGAGGTGAGGTTGCAGGTGCTGGTGGTCCCCGGCCCAGGTTGCTGCTGGTGGCCACACTTGGCCCGCAAGGCTTTTTCCTCTCAACTTTATGCGTGAGCGAACGCGCTCCCCCTGGCACCTGGAGCTCCTGCCCAAAGCGTCCCTGAGGTCAGGGCCTCGCAGCTACCCCCCATCGTCCCTTCCTCCCCTCCCCCCTGTCCTGAGTAAAGACATCCACTTTCTCCAGGCCTGGGGTTCCGTGCCGGCACCCAGGGGCCCTGCCCGCCGCGGTCCAGACTCTTCCTGGTGGCAACGGTGCACCTCCCATCGCACCCACCCAGAGTCCACTGGGTGTGGAGCCTGGGTTCTGTAGCGGTTCCTTAAAGGGGGAAGCACAATGGGCTGCTAGCGTGGACACTGGCGGTTCCCACCAGCCACAAGCGCTCCAGATTGGCCTGCGGGGCGGGGGCGGGACCCGCGCTGCTAGCCACGGCTGAGCGGAGGTCTGAGGGTGCCTTGGGGTAGGGGCCTGGGGCGAGATTCAGCAGAAAAGTGAAGGTAGGGCTGCAGTAGGGAAGAGGCAGGCGGAAGCTGAAGGAGAGAGGCGCCTGGCAGGCAGAGGGAGTCGTCTTGGCCATGGAGGGAGGGCGAGCGGGGTGAGGATGGAACACCCGGGCGGGGCCTGGTGGGAGCGCCTCGCGGTCCCGGAGGTAGCGCCCGTGGGGCAGCGGGCGACTTTGGTGCCACCCTGGGCCGGGCGCGGCTCCCCAAGGCCCAGAGCGCGGCTCCGGTGCCACGGCCACCGCGTGCGCACCCGCGCCTTTGTCTGCTCCTCGCGTTTCCCTGGCGCCTTCTCTCCTGGCAGATTCTCTTCTGGGGTGGCCGTTTCGGCTTCCTGCTCCCAGGTGCTTGTACTCTGGTGGCAGCTGGCCGATGGCTGCTGGACACCCGCGGTCCAGCCACTGGTCGCGCCCCACGCTGGTCCGGCTGCCGCACACCCAGCCTTTTTGGGATGCAGCTCCTGTGTGAGAGCCTGTGCAAAGCAGAACAGGGCCACTGCCCTCTGCGCTGCCATCCAGCTTCCTGATCCGGGCGGGGCCACAGTAGCCTCTTGACTCAGTGGCCTGGTGGCCTTGCATCTGGGTGGACATGCGGGCACGTGCCCCGACTGAAGCTTTCCTGATGCCTGGGGCTTGAGTACTGTGCCCAGGCAGGGCATTGACCCCAGTGCCTCCTTAGCCCCTCCCCCTTCCATCCCAGGTGGTGGCTGAATTAATGGATGCTACCATTGTAAAGCCCTGTGGCTCTGGGGATGAATGAATAGAGCTGTGACCACGCCTGATGCCCTCAGATGTGGTCAGCAGTGACTGAATTGGCCATGGATTAAAAGTGGTTCCCAGCTTGTGGTGCCTGGGTGTGGGCTGGGAGGTGAGCCTAATGCTTGGCCTGGGACTGGAGTTGCAGGTCCTCCTGGTCCTCCTGCGAATTCCTTCTTTTTAAAAAATGAACTTCTGCTTTTCTCAGTTGGCAAGGAATGGAATGGGGATGGATGGGGCAGGGAGGCAGCATGGGTGCTGACCGTTGCAGGAGGAAACTCTTTGGGAGTTGGTGGTGCTGAAGGCTTTGGGAAGGATCCCATTGGTGGGCACCCTGTGGGTGCTGAGCTGGTTTCTGTGTGTGTCTCCTTTGTTTGCAGTGGAGCGGACCAGATGAGCAATGTCTCCATGTTGGGTGGTGGGGTTGTGTAGGGAGGGGATGCCTGGCAGGCTTCCTGTGCCCACAGCAGGAGTGGGTTGTCAGAGGCACCCACTGCACTTGCTGCTGGAGCTGCAGAAGCAGCCCTGGGACCGCTGTCAGAAGGGACAGCTGGGAGTCCCCGTGAGGGCACAGCTCTCTGGGATGTCACTGGGCCAGGGGGTCTTTAGGCAGAATGTGCGATTGTGGCCTGACCCGGGGGAAAGACGGAGCAAGAACAGGCTCATGGCTCGGGAACGGTGTCCCCACTGTTGGGTCTCTTGTTTCCGTCTGTGGGACAGGCTCCAGTTGTCTGTAATAGCAGAATACTTGACACACTTTTTTTCCCACTAATTATTTTTATTTTTTGATGATTTTTGCCTAGTTGATTAGGGTGGTAAGGGTCAAGGGCTACAAGAAGGTGGGTGAGTTCACCATTTCCACATTCTCTTCTTTCCTTCCTGTATCTGGGGAAGAGGGCAGATAAGGAGAGAAGCCACAGCAGCCTCCCAAGCACCTCTGCACCCTGGGATGGAGGACAGGCACCTGACAGCACCCCAGGGTCCCCGATGTGGGGCATGCTCTGAGGTCCTGCTCAAGAGGTTTCTGTAGTTCAGTAGTTCTGACTTATTGCCAATCTCACCACTCCAAGCATGATGAACTGTCTCCAAAATCCACTGGTTGACGCAGTCCACCTTAGAGTCTCCCCTTGCCCGGGTATTCACTGGCACACCTCTTGGATCTTTGTGGCAAAAACATGAATCTTTCTGAAAAAGGAATGCTAGATTCCGTGAGAATCGAGACAATGTCCAAATGCACACCAGCACGTCTGCCTGTGAACTCGGTACTCCTTGCCTTCCTTTCCGATCGATCTGGTGGTGTGTCAAGCGAGTTGCCTTGTGGCAGCTGCTGTGTCCACTTGCTGTTTGCCATCAGAAAGCAGATTGTGCGTCAAAGACAGAACGTTCCAGTTGGCTTTGTGTTTGCTCCCGCCAGTTCTGGCTAGTGGGACTTAGCCTCCTGAGTGGGCTGGGCATTCTTGCCCAGGGCAATACACCATCACTGGCTGCCTCACCTGCCGGCTTGTTGTGCTATTAAATTAGTGTCCTTCCTGACATCGCCTCATTTCCTGACCCCTGGACACTTCCTCAGACACACAGCTTCCCACTTCCTTGCTGGGAGATTTGCTGATGAGAGCAGGAACGACTCATGTGGCTGCAGAGCCATGGTGTCCCACAGTGAAGTATGCTTTTGCAGTGTGCTATGTGTTTGTCAGGAAGAGTTGAGCGATCAGGTGGGACAAGGCCCCGTATGAACTGTGGTGTCCTTGCTCCCTGCGGCATATCTAGAGGAGGTGCTGGGCTGGATGGCACACACCTGCAGGAAAGGAGTTCTGTAATTGAGTGGGGAATCCATCCTAAGGTTCTGAAGCTTTGGATACCCTCAAATCTATCCCCTGCTTCTTTTTTTCCCCACAAAAACTTTTTCTATCACACTAGATAGCCAGATTACTGTAAGGCCCAGTGGACACAGGTGGGAGATCTCTCACCAGTTACTGCCCAGTGGATGTTGGCTTAAAAGCAGCTGATGCCACCTGAGAAAAACAGAGGAAGAAAAAGTAATATTTTCTCCCAAATGGGAACCTCTGCGCTGTAATGCCCAGCATTTTAAGCTCCTACAAGGAAGTCTGTTAAGACTCTCCAAAGGAAATTTCAGGACAGACCCAGCCCTGGTGATCACCTGTGGCGCTTTCTGCCTGCTTGGTTTATGGAGCCCACCGACTGGCTTGCCTGCTCTTTGCTGATCTTTGCCTCTTGTAGGGGGAGCCCAGAGCGAGTCTGAGGGCTGGGTTTGTGGCTTGTGATGGCAGCCTTGCACTGACAGTGGCTGACACACATAGCCCGGGTTCTGGGATATTTGAATTGGAAATGCAGAAATCAAAACAGAACCTGGTGGCTGTCTTCAAGGAATCTAGAAATTGGTGAGCACTGTTGAACACTTATTTTATGTTAGTATTTTCTGCAATGGGCATGGGTGTGAGCAGAGGAGGGACTCTGCAGTGGGCCTGGAGCATGGATGTGAGCAGAGGAGGGACTCTGCAGTGGGCATGGACCATGGATGTGAGCAGAGGAGGGACTCTGCAGTGGGCATGGGTGTGAGCAGAGGAGGGACTCTGCAGTGGGCATGGACCATGGATGTGAGCAGAGGAGGGACTCTGCAGCGGGCATGGGTGTGAGCAGAGGAGGGACTCTGCAATGGGCATGGGTGTGAGCAGAGGAGGGACTCTGCAGCGGGCATGGGTGTGAGCAGAGGAGGGACTCTGCAGCGGGCATGGGTGTGAGCAGAGGAGGGACTCTGCAGCAGGCATGGGTGTGAGCAGAGGAGGGACTCTGCAGCGGGCATGGGTGTGAGCAGAGGAGGGACTCTGCAGCAGGCATGGGTGTGAGCAGAGGAGGGACTCTGCAATGGGCATGGGTGTGAGCAGAGGAGGGACTCTGCAGGCATGGACCATGGGTGTGAGCAGAGGAGGGACTCTGCAGCGGGCATGGGTGTGAGCAGAGGAGGGACTCTGCAATGGGCATGGGTGTGAGCAGAGGAGGGACTCTGCAATGGGCATGGGTGTGAGCAGAGGAGGGACTCTGCAGCAGGCATGGGTGTGAGCAGAGGAGGGACTCTGCAGCGGGCATGGGTGTGAGCAGAGGAGGGACTCTGCAGCGGGCCTGGATGTGAGCAGGGAGATGTGAGTGGCAGGTGACAGGCCATATTAACTTGGCTGGAAGCTGGATGTGTGTGGTTGGGGTGTAATGATGCCTGGTGGCTCGCTGTCCCTGTGTATAGCTGTATTCTTGGCAGGGGGCGTCTCTACCCATGTGTGGCCTGCACTCAGCCAGGCCCACAGAAACCCACCAGTCCATTTGTCATTCAGGAGCTGTGTGGAGCACTGGGCACATCAGTGGACCCTGGTGGGGAAGCCTGACTCCTATCTGGCCGTTTGGGTTGCAGTCCTGCTAGGCCTCTGTTTCTTCAGATTCCTGCTGGCATGCCCCCTGGGTAGCTGCTGCCCTCTAGGGGGACCAGACTAGGTTCTAGGCTCCAGGCTTGAGCCTGGCAATTACAGGCTTTTGGGG